CATCAATACAGTTAAGTCTTCTCCATTCAAAAAACAAAACAAAAAAAAAAAAAAACATTTATGTCTACAGCCCCCTGGTAGAAACGTTATAAACACCCTTCCTGGAATATTAGGGTGAGTCCTTTGGTTCAGTGTGGCCTCACACTCACCCAGCTTTAAAACCCAGAAGAGTGATTTCAGGTTGCCAGAGCCCTGAAAAAAAGGCCTTTCATCTTCCACTGAGGATGAAAGTGAAGGATGGCCTGGGCCAGAAGTGTCATCCCACAAGGATTTGTTTGGCCAGTGAGGCTGGACTCTGGTTTTAAGTGGAGCAGGGTGACAGCTGTGGCCTTTACTTGAAGTTGTCGACCTGCTGGGTGGGTGTGCGGGTGGGGGAGGGGAGGAGCAGTGCACTGTGCAGGCCCAGGAAAAGTTGAGAAGAATTTCTCCCAGAAGCCAGGGTCTCGATGGCCATGGCCATTGGGCAAACTCCTGCAGAGAAGCTAGAGGAGAATCAGTCACTTCTGCTCTAGGTGGTCCAAGTTTAGGAGGCTCATGAGCAGTGACCAGGTCAAGGGTGTAAGCGGAGAGTGGCCTCCCCAGGGAGGGCGGTCAGGACTGGGCCAGTCACTGCTCCATGTGGCCTGGCCGGCGTTGACTCTCCAGGAAATGCTGTCTCGGCAGAAGTAGGCAGGGGCAGCACGTGAGGGGCACCACCACAAGCCAAGCGCAGGACGAGCCCACAGCAGCAGTCCACAGCTCTGCACAGGACGCTTGCTGAAAAATTAGAGCAGCCAAGCAGGGTAGCAGAGTTTATTGAGAGAAAAGAATTCCATCTCCTTCCCAGGTATTCTGTGCCAGGCTGGTGAGTTCAGAAGTAGCTGGCAGTCATAGTGTTGCGGAATCCCACTATTGACTGGCACCTGGGAGAGCAGCACCTCTTAGCCTTCTCTCTTTAGACGAGGGCCGAGGGGCCCAGCTTGGTTAAGCAACGTGCTGACAGCCATCCAGGGGCTCTCAGGGGCTCTGCTGCCGCACCTCAGCCTTCTCTTTGCGGGCAGTGGTCCTTCTTCCCCCAGCCCCATGCCCTCAGCCACAGGTCCTGCTCCAACACTCGAAGACGCCTTCATGCAGACCAGGGAACAATGGTCCCTCCACAGGGCGAAGGCCATAGGTGGGTGCAGTTGAACTTCAGCCCCACTTGCCCTCCTGGCCTGAAGCCCCTACGTAGAGCACAGCTTCACAGTCCACACACAGCCCCCGAGCTCCAGGCCATACCTGTGTGTGTGTGTGTGGCACACAGGCTACCTGGTTTCTCTCCAAACATAGGGCCTTTCCTCCTGGCTCTCTCCCACCAACTCATCTGCAAGTTCACTTCACTCATCAGAGTGGTGACTGCTCTCTCTCTCTCCTTCCAACCTACTGGCGACTTCAGCCCCATCGTCCATCAGCACCGCCAAAGCGCTGTGGCCAGACTGTGCTTTGAGATTGAGGGCTCAGTCTCAGAGATCATCTAGAGCAGGGGTGGCAAAGTGATCCAAAGCAAACTTTCCAAGGCTCACAGGACTTTGGTGACTTTGCTGCTGTCACAAGCTGATGGATGGCCAAGCCAGAGTTTGAACCCAGATGCCCTGACATTCTTTCGGGTATTCCCCAGACTTCGTGGACCCATCATCCGATGCTCAGCTTATTGCCCGCCTTTTTCTGCAGGGAAGTCACAGGGGAGAGATGGTGGTTCTGCTCAGAAAGCATTGAGGTGACTCTGAACTCATTCTCAAAAGCTAGTTTGGGGGGCCTGAGACTCCCTCCCTGGACAAAGTTCCTCAGATCCTATGGGTGCTAAGCCACTCTGGTCTGGCCTTAGCCCCACAGGGACCCACACCATCCTACCTCCTGATGGTGTTAACACTGCCCCTGCTCCCAGCTTTCAGTGCTTTCTGTTCAGGGCTTTGAACCAGTGCCCTCACTGTTTTCATGAGTGGAGAGCAGGTGGCCAATCAAAGGGACTTGGGGGAACATGACACCAGGATGTTCCATAGCCACTGTTCCCAGTGGCATGCAGATCAACTGCAGTGTACAAATATGAGGAGGTCCCCTTTTGCTTTCTCCTCACCTGTCCTGCCCTCTCAGCTCCATTTGGCACTGCTTCCAAGAGCACAGCCCAGGGCCTGGTGACAGTCACAGGCTTGTGTCTGCCACAGGGAACCCATGAAAGCTCCGAGGGCACAAGGGGAGGAGGGAGAGAGAAGCTCTGAGGATGGAACCTACACAGCTCCTCCCACTGCCAGGAGCAGGACCCCTGGCCAGCCAGGCAGGCCCCGAGAATCCACAGAGGCACAGGGCAGCACACCCAGACGGCGAAGGGAAGGGCTCGGCAGGCTGGACACTTCAGGTATCCCATTTAATCTCAACAGTGGTCCCAAAAGGCAGTGACCACCATCCTCATTTACAGATGGGAACCCCAAAGTCCAGGCTAGATGTGGTCACCCAGTCGGTCAATGAGGGATTTGGAGTTCAAACCCAGGTCTGTCTGCCCCCAGTGTATCTGATTTCCTCGTCACCAAGGTGCCCCCAAGGCAAGAGCAATCCTGAGTCAGGCAAGCAGGTTCCCAGCTGGCCAGCCCCTTCCTAGAGATGCCATCTTCCGGGCAAAGCCATTCCCTGTGTGGTCACTGTCCACCCCAGAGCTGGATGGCAGACACCAAGGTGGAATGCTCGCTCCTGGCCCCCACTGCTCCACCAGAAAGGCCTGGGGCTGGGGCCACAGCTGGGGCAGCATCTTCCTGGCACTTTTCCCCCTTCTTGAGTCCATACCACACTTGATTTAATGAACTAGTTTACAGAATTCCCTCACCATTTGCCCCATAAGCTGGGGAGGGAGATGAGATGGAAGCAGAGAAGCCCAGATTAACTGGAGCCCTGGGGGGACAGCCATCGGGCAGGGTGCAATGTGGCAGCGGCAGGCTGGCAGCCTGGCGCAGCAGTTAAAGCGCAGACCACAAGTCAGCCCACCTGGGCTTGCGCCTAAGCACCACCACCTGCCCTCTGTACCATCTTGGTGCCTCAGTCTGTCCTTCTGTGGAATGAGGACACAGAGCCAGCCTGACCACACCCCAGGGCAGATGAAAGGAGTTAATACCCATGCAATTCGAAACAATGCCTGACACAGGGTGAGCATGATGGAAGCGTTAGTTAAATCTTAAATCTACCTATTTTAAACCATCTACACCTGGTCTTGGTTTTCAGTAATGCTATGAAAACCGTTCTAAAATGTTCACTCCCCCTTTTCAGTTCCAAAAAGCACAGCACAAAAAATAAATGATTCACTCTGGAGGTAGAGTGTGGCAGGCAACAACGTGTTACAGGGCAGCCTGTGCCGCCAAGTTTGTGAACAGTGTCGTGGTGACAGTTCCAACGCCCGGTCAGTCCGTTCAGTCGATCTAACATAGGAGGTGTGCGATGACGTGGCGAGGCCGGGTTTCTAGGAAACACAGCAAAACGTAAAGATTCCAAGTGGCCAGCCGGGCAGATGGAGGCCACCATCCAGACCGGTGGGGGCGCCAGGCAGGAAACCACTGGACGTGGCCTGTGCCGCCTGTGTCTCTGCCCTTCCCTCCCTTCTCCTGCCCTCTGGAGCACGTTCAGAGTTTAGAAGGACCTTAATTATCAGCCAATATAATTTTGTGGGCAAGCTAACCAAGGTCGAACTGGTGGCTAGAAACCACCAGCCTCTCCACCACTTCAACTGACCACGAAGAATGTTACCAAACCTATTTTCCACGTTTGGCACCAAATGACTAGTTTTTCCTAAAAAAAAAAAAAATAAAAAAATCTAGCCCCCTTTTAAAAGACAAATATCTACCTCCCACTGAAACTTAAAAGAGTGGGCAACCGGCTATGAACACGTTCACTTTATTATCCCAGGGTGCATGACCAGTTAATTTATCCCCCTGCATCCTAGCCCACTTGGAGGAGGCCCAATTTAAATTCACATCACGGATTAGAAGAGGCTGGCAAAGAATTTCTCTAGCCAGAAGGCCATACAGGGGCTTGGCCATCATGTGAGTCAGGGAAAGTGTGTCTTATACGGGCATCGGGTGGTCAGCGGGACAGAGCTGACAGGGACGGGGGCTGTGCGTGCACACACACAGGCACACAGCCTGTTGGCACATGGTTAAATGCGTGGACCATTAGACCCTGGGGCCGAGGACCAGCACTAAGCGGCACTGGGGCTCCAGGTGGGCATCTCTGTGAGCAGGTGGGCTGTGAACAGGAGCCAGGCGGCAGGCAGCTGGCCACCACCCGGGCAGGCCCAGAGCTGCATGGGATCTAGACAGCCTGGTGGAGAGAACAGGGCCCAGCTGGGGCCTAAGGATCAAATCAGGGCAGGGCTGGGCTGTCCCGAGAAACCTGTGTTGCCAAGCAGGTCATAAAGACAGAGGCAGAGATACAGGAAACGAGAACGTAACCCCATCTGGTCTTTGAACAAGGCCAGCTGTACAGCCCCCAACCCCGTCAGCACAGCACCAGGGCGAGGCTCGCTGGGTGCCAAATCCCGAGCTCCTGAACCTGCCTCCTGGGATCCACAGCCACAGGGGGCTCAGCTGCATTGAAAGGAGGGTGGCAGGCTGATGTTCTCGGCTGAGCAAACACACCCCAGGCTGGAAGCTTTCCCGGCGAGGGGAGTGACATTCCTATGCGGCTCCAACTTGACAAGGCACTGGAGCCTAGAAAATGCTGGGTGGCACGGGCTTGCAGACAGTGCGTGTCCCAGATCTCGGGTCCCCAGGGGGCTGGCGGCAGAGTTCAATGCACAAACTGACGACGCTGGGGTAAACTCTCCCAAAAGACAGATAATTCAAGACCTACGTCTGGCAGCCCCCACCGGTCTCCCGACTTCTCTCCTGTCCCTGTCCCCTCATCTGCCCCCCAGGCCCAATCTCAGTGTCTTGGCCCAAATGTCTTCAGGTTACCAAGACTCATTCAAACTGTTTAAGCTAATTGACACTAAAATACTAACATTTTATTCTTCCCAGTTTTATTGACACATCTTCAGAGGATCACAGAGAACAGGAGTCATCTCCACCAAAGGAATGAATATTTAATGGTGAAACTTTAGCCACATGATGCCTGGGAGATGTTTTAAGGCGGAGTAAAGCTGTCCAGAATCCATTCTTCCCTTCCTCGTGGCACCTCCATTTCTTCTTGGGAAATTTCCTCTTCCCTATTATGCAGTCCAAGGGCTTATTTCCCACCGGGGGTGCCAGACGTGATGTATCATCGCTTCCCAAAATGGCGGGAGGGAGGCGCAGGGTCCCAATGCAGCCAGCTGGGTGACAGTCAGCAGTCATTCGTCACAGACGGCAGTGTGCGGGCCCCGTAGATCCTGCCGTCTAGCCCTTCAAATGGCCTTTGGCCCTGTCCTGGCCTCCGTGGTCTCCTACTTCCCACCGATGCTGTGAGCCGCTTCGCCTGCCCCAAGCCTTTAAGTTAACCAGACTTTGCTGTTGGCAAAAAACATGGATCCCAAGTGGCCCCCACAGCCGCCTCTACACACAGTTAAGCCAGCGGTGATGGGGAAGATGTGGGGACGATGGCTGGCTCACCGTCCCTCTGCACAGGGGCCAGAACACAGTACACCACCGGGGCCACCACCGTGGACATGGCGCATGTGACCAGAAACAAGAGCCACCCAGAGGGACCTAGGGTGGGGACAGTGGAAAATGGCATCCCATCTCCGATGGTGACAGTGGCACCATCCCTTCACCTGGCTATCTTCCCCCTCCCTCTGCCCTGTGTGCTCACACACACACATGAACACACACCTGCACATACATGCACACACTCAGCTAGTAGCACCCTCCTGGTCCTCTCCTGGGAGACTCCAGGAGAGCATGGCAGGTGCATGTCTGGTGGAGGTGGGTGCTAAGTGGAGAAAACAAGAAGAAGGGGTGAACCACAGTTGTCACCCTTCCCTGGTGGGACTCAAGGGCCCAGGTCCCTGCCTTCACAGTAACACACCTTAAATAAACTGGGAGTCTCAGTGGGGAGACACCAGCCCCCTCAACGTTAGACTAGCAGGGCCACCTGTGGGCCACCCAGGCAGCCCCGAGACACAAACATACCTGAAGTGTAACATCAAGTGCTGCCCCCACCTCCATCCTCACAGCCACCTGCGTTCCCTTCCGGACTGGGGCCCACCCCGACAGGGAGCTGGCGCTGACCGGGAAGGGGAGGTGGGACCGCCAGGTGCGTGGCCCAGCAGGCTCGACACCCTCAGACCCACCGCGTGTGCCGCCGTCTCCTAATGGGGCCTCAGCACCCACACTGAGCTCAGGGTGGATGGCCCATCGGGAGCCCCAGGGAAGCAGCCGAGGTGCGGACGGGGCCAGAAACCGAGCCGGGCAAGGCACACCGGAGCGAGGCAGGAGACAGGCTGCTTCTGAGGACGTTTATTGGGGCCTGGGCCGGCGTGAGCACGAGCAGGAGCCCCTCCCCAGCCCAGCAGCCGGCGGGCAGGGACACAGGGAGTCCACTTCCTTTGATCCCATCATAGACAATGTTATAAAAAAAATAAACTTTACAATAATACATTTCGCTCATCTGCTGGGGTATTATTTTGATAGGTTTGTTTCTTAAAAAAAGGAAAAAAGGGGAAACCACACAGTATATGTATATGATGTGTATATACATATATGTTGAGCAGGGAAAGACATCACGTACATACAGTTGATGTGCGTCTCAGAAATGAAGAAAGACAAGGCGGGAGGGAGGAGAGAGCTGCAGAGACCAGAGCTCGGGGCAGGGGGCGACCCCGTGGTCTTTTCTGCCCCTCTCAGCAGCCCCTCTCTCCAGAGAGAGACCCACCAAGAATCGTTTCTCTTTGATTTCGAACTTCCTGCCACCAAGGAGGAGGCAGCAGCCTTGAGATGGTACCCAAGCTTTGCCCCCCCACCCCAGAGGCTCTCCCAGGTGGGGTGAGTGGCCCAGCCCCCCATGCTACAGTTGGGGGAGGGGCACCTCCGTGTCACAGCCCTCCACAAGTCAGAAGCAGACCCACCAAGCCCACGGGGGGTGGGGCCAAAATAAACGCCACCCTTGAAGCCAAGTGGAGATGCTACAAATGCCTAGCTGGACCCCAGGGACCAGCCTTGATGCTCTGCCACCTGACGCCCCTGCCAGCCCCTGCAAGTCCCCAGAGTGGGCAACTTGAGAAGAGCAGCAGCCACCACCCTGCCCTGGCCACATCAGGCAGGGATGGCCACCAGTCCCTCAGGCTGCAGGGGTCCCATCTTGGTATCTTCCAGCAACAGGGTCCAGAGAAGAAAAGGCCAGGAGAAAGTGCAGGGCACGGCTAGACCCTCGTGCCCTCCTCGGTGCCAGGGCGCCCCTACCAGGGCACCTCCGGGCAGCTCTCAGGCTGCCCACCTGCTGTCTGTTTGGTTTAGAAAAACTTCTCCAGAGAGGAAACCTGGGAGTAGACAGATTCAGAGACAAGGTGGGAAAAAATTTTGCAAAGTGTGTATGTGTGTGTGTGTGTGTGTGTGTGTGTGTGTTTGTGTGTTTTCATTTCATCAGGCGGGTGCCCTTGTCCACAAAGCTTTCGGAAATCTCCAGACGCAGCGCACAGAGCCTACAAGGCCATCTTCAACACCAGGAAGGAGGCAGCGGTCAAGGCAGCCGATGGTCTGGCTCTGCAGGGGCCTGAGTTGGGTCTGATCACCTTGTTACTCCCTGGGATGATGTTGGTGGTGAGCTGAGGCCACGGCAGAAGGGGAGACAGAAGCAAAAAGAGACCGTGAAAGACAAACCAACCACTTGAGTCAGCAGGGCTGGGAGCCCACAGAGGAAAGGCCTCCCCGAGCCCCTGCCCTCCCAGCCCAGCCAGGGGACCCGCCTTTGCACTCTTGCCTGGAGGCGGAGCCAGGCTTCCAGGAGCTGGGCTGAGCCCTCCAGCTGGGGAACACAGGGCCACGGTCCCCAGAACAACCTGGGTGACACTGCCCCATGAAGAAGAAGGCCCGCAGACACAGGCCAGGGGAGAGGGGTGGTATAAAGATCTCAAGGAGAAGCAGCTCCCAGGGGCCACAAGGACCTTGCTGAGGGGAGAGGCGTGAGTGGCTCTGCTCTTCCCGTTCCTTCCCGAACCCCTCCTCCTCCATGAAGCGTGCCCTGCCTGTCTCTGACTATGCTCTCCTCCTCCTGTGGAATCTGACATGGCCTTTCTCCTCATCTAAGTTGCAGACAGACCGTAGATGTCTGTTGTAAGGAATCGGGGAGGCTTGGGAAGGCCCCCACTCAGAGCAGCCACTCGTGCCTCTCCCAAAGAGACAGCCAAGGACCCTGGCCACAGCCTCTGCACCAGCCCCCATCCTTGGCAGCTGAGCGCGTGCCCACTGAGGTGCAGGCAGACCAGGAGCTCAGCTGGCCCAGCCCATGATGGGGTCTGAGAGCTCTGAGTCTGAGGCTCACCCAGAAAGAGCCCCCTGTGGCCAGTCCCCTACAACACTGCACTCTGCCCCCACTCACCTCTGTGAAGCACATGCTCAGCTCTTTGGAGCCATTGGCCTTCAGCCCCTGCTCCTGTGGGAGAGAAGGCACTGGTAAGGACGGGCTGGGTCTGCGGTCGAGCTCTGTCCCATCACTCAGATGAGGCCCCACAGTCCAGGGCCTTGCCCACCACTGTGGGCTCAGGAGGCACAAGGCACACATGCAAAGCATGGGCCCCTCCCACAAGCCTCGCCCTGGCATCCTCCACACTCCTGAAGGAGAGAGCTCTAACTGTGCTCTCTGTCCTACAGGTGATTCAAGTGATCAGCTGCTCACAGGTCTCTCTCCCACACCCAGAGCTCTTCTCAATGAGGCAGAGACCCGGCCTTGCTCTCCTCACACTGGCCAGTGTCTGGTCCATAACAGCAGCTGAGTAAATGTCGTATTACATACATGGAAGAATGAATGAATGAATGAATGTCATGGGTCAGAATTGGCATCTGACCGCCAGCTCTAGGGAGACCACGAGTCCTCATTTGGGTTCATGGGGAAGAGAGCTGTGACTGATTGGTGATGTTTGCCACCACTGCACATTAGGCGGACATCTGGCCACAGTGCCGAGTGCTACCCTTTCCACCTAAACAGGTGTGTGGCACCTGCAGGTCTGTGGTCAGGGAGAGGAATGAGAAGGGGAAGCTGGCGTGGTGATGATTCGGGGTTCTGCACCCCAGGTGTGAGCGCCTGGATGCAGGAGCAGAGAACTCTGTTATCATCATCACAGCAGGGATCCACAGGAACCAGCTGGGCGATGTGCTGTTTCCATCCTGGCTTCAAATGGCTTGGTTCTTAAGGCAACTGTGGGGACTCTCTGGCCCCCAGAAGCAACCAGGAAGCCCATGAAATCACACTTCCATCACAGCTCTTAGCCAGACGTATCAGTAATCCCGGGGACATCACAGGCAATCTACCACCCAGGGCATCTGGTCAGCCAAACAAAGCCACAGCTGTCACTCGGAGGTCCAGCCAAGGGCAGGGTCACTGCAGATGGCGATGTGACCACAGTGATGAGGAGTCCCCACTGGAACTAGGGACCAGACCTGGGGGATCCTGCCCAAGACCACATCACCAGTGACCCCAGGTGCCAAGACCTGGCCCAGCCAAGCCACCAACCTGTACCCATGGAAAAGGGTGTGTGCCCCCAGGCCTCTGGCCCCGCGGGCTGGATTCTACCACCCAGGACCAAGGGCAGCCCCAGCCAGGGCCGTGGGAGGCCGCTGCCAGAAGGACACACGCACCCCCCCCAGGGACTGTGCGGCCACCATCGTCAGACTGCCTCCAACCTTCACCCTCACTTGGTCGCTTCCCTGGGCAGCTCCCAGCCCGCCAGTCCCCACCTGTGCTGTCTGCGGCCTGTCCAGCTCTGGGCTACCCAGCCCAGCACCTATTTTTCCTGGCCTCCTTTCCTGCCCTCCTGGTCCCTGGGTGGCAGGTGAGTCTCCTTCCTGCAGCCACCCCCCCACCGCACTCACTAAACCCCAAGCCTGTGTGGTCAGCCAGCTGGACCGAAGTCCTCAGCCCCAGCTCACCGATGCAGCTCCACTTTGTTTAATATACGGGAGTCAGGCACAGAATTGTTTTAATAAATAGCCTACTGTGTAAAATAAATACAGTCTGAGGAAACAGCTCCATCAGACGCCTGGCCACACCCCCTTCTGTGACCCACCGCCAGCCGTCAGGGGCTCAGGGTCCCTGACGCTGAGGGCTCTGGAGGGCAGCACCCAGGTCAGGTCCCCAGAGCAGCCCATGGGAGAACGGGGCCGTGGGCTCAGCCAGACTGGGACAGGACACCTGGTGTGGACACGGGAGCAGCCCGTCCTGTGGCTGGGTCATGCAGGTCAGAGCCAGTGGAACTTGACAGGCTCCTGGTGGGAGGGGGCAGTGAGGGAACGCTGCCAGCTGTCAGAGAGGGAAAGGGCAGGAGAGGAGGAAAGAGGCAAAGAGAGCAAAGAAAAGAAAGGGAGGAGCAGGGAGAAAAGGGAAAAGCTGCTCCCATAGAGACCGGGAGGAGGCAGGGAGGAAGCGAGGGGGGTGGGAGAGGGGACAAAGGGTGATAGGAAGAGGCAGGGGAGGGAGTAGAGGGGGAAGAAGAGGGGAGGGGCAGGGAACACAGGAGGAGGAGAAGGACTGGACGAGGACCCCTTCACCCTCTCCTCCGACCCACACTACAATGAGAAAGCACACACCGCCCTGGGCCAGCCCCGAGGGAGCCCAGGGCCGTTGTGGTCTCTGACCAGGGCCACGGGGACTTGGGGAGGGGAAAGCACTGGCCTCTATGAAGACCAGGCACAGGAGCCCCCCCACACACCCCATCAGTGCCCCATCATGGATGCACTTTCCACAGCCCTCGCAGGAAGTCTCGCGCACCAGCAATACCTCATCCTGCGGGCCTCAGGGCTGAGGGCCACACACTGCCGTGCCGAAGGCAGTGACTCGGAGGCGTCTGGGCTGTCCCAAAGTTCTTCCCTCTAGAGCTATGCGGTCTAGTGCACAGATGTTGTCCTCAGACCCCCCCGCCCCAGCCTGTTCTTGTAGCTGTAAGGGCCTAACCCTTGGTGACCACCAACCCCACACCCCCACAGGGTCACCCCTTGACCCAAGGAAGGAAGGAAGGAAGGCCTGAGAGGCCAGAGCCCTGGGCTCCAGTCTGTTTCAGCCAACGACCCGAGACAAGTCCCTCCATCCACTGGAGCCTCAGTTTCCTCATCTGTAAAATAGGGACTGACAAATGTACTTCACTGACCCACGTGACGATGCACGGGAGTTCACGCGGCACAGCACAACTCTGCACAAATGTAAGGCCTCCTTAATTCCACAGGGCGTGACGCCGAGCGAGCTTAGTTTGGTCCCCTAGGGCCAGGCCTAGGAGGAGAGCAGGGAGGGCCAGGGAAGAGGGCAGGAAGGCAAGCCCCTGGCCTCCCGCCCTCTTCTCCACCCCAGCAGCTCAGAAAGCAAAGACAGGAAGAGTCTGCCACAGGTGGACACCACCTGGCTTCCAGGAAACAGGCAGCAGACCTGTGCCCAGGCTGCCATAACCTCTCCCATGGCAAACCCAAGGCCCCTTCCCCAGTCCTGGGCACACAGAATGGTGCTAGTGTCTGCCCATCAATGTCCTTTCCTGGAAGTGGCACATGGGAGGGGTGGGGCACAGAGAGAAAGAAGGTCCATCATTTAATTCGAGGACTTAATTTGAGGCTGCTGGAGCCCAGGCACTGTGGCTCTGTCCTGCATCTGTGCTGCTGGAGCCCAGGCCCCATCTCCAAACCTCAGTGCCCTCAGTCACCTCCCTGCTGTACGCACCCACCCCCAATAGCTCACAGCTCCTCCCTCCCACTCCCCTAGTTCAACTCCTTTTCTTACCATCGCCAAGATCTCAGACAGCACCCCACCAGTCTCTCTCCCCTGCCAGCCAGTCTCCACCAGCTGTCAGATGTCTTCCTAAATCACAGTTCTCCATCTTGTTGCAACACTCCCTGTTCAGAAGCCTTCCGTGGCCCCTCAACACTCACCACCTCAACCTGCTCAGCAGGCTTCACCCCACCCCTCCCTCCAGGTCAGCACTCCGTGCTCTGGCCCAGACGCAGCAACTGCGGTCCCCAGACCTGGAGCAGCGAACATCGCTGCGCAGGGAGCCGGCACTAGACGCCTGTCTGCCATGTGCACAACAGTGTGTGAACATCAGGGTGTGGTGTTGTTCCAATAAAACGTAGTTTATCCGAAAGGGCAGCTGTCCAGAGCTGGCCCACACACCCCCTACTCCATCCCAGGCTGTCCTGACTCCCTGTCTTGGTTCCACTTGCCCCTCTGCCTAGGGCACCCTCCCCCTCTCCAGCCCACTCCCACATCTCCATGTGGCCAGCTCTCCCTTTCCACCAGGCCTAGCAGTGGGTGTACCTTTGCTTCTGCTGCCAGCCCAGACAAGCCCTCCCTGCGCTGGATCCCACAGCATGGGACCAGCCTTTTTTGTGTGCCAATCACTTCCTCCCCCTGGTTATCTGAGCATGTCCACCCTGCCAGTATAGGACCGAGGTACTGGCCAAGTAAGCTTGTCAGCCTCAGTGCCTGGAATCTAGTGGCACGCAGAAGGAAGTTGTGTTGAATAAATGCATGAATGCACAGATGGAGGAATAAATGAATGGCTATGAGGGAGAGCTGGAAGGAGGGAAGAAAACGAGGAATGTGCACAAGTCTCTCTCAAAGCTTTGGAACAAGCCATACATCTAAATCAGAAATGTGTGCCTAACAGACACACAGACACAGGACAGAGACCCCACCCTGACATCCACGGGCCTGTGCACAAGGAAAGAGACCCGTCGGGGAATAGTTGGAGTGAGGAGGAAATGGGGGTAGGCGGCTGCTAGTTGCTGAGCCCATGCAGGTGTGTGCTGGGAGGGGCAGTGGCAACCCCTCCAAACACGTTTTTCATTCCTTCACACGTGTGGGCAGTATAGAGGGTAGGAGCAGAAACTGGCCGGTGGAGACAGAAAGCAAAGGAGATTGTGTCACTGGGGCCCCTTAGCACAGGGAAGAGCGAGACTGACCCAGAGCAATGCACAGGGAGTGCCGAGGCCACTGGGGACAGACCAGGGCCGGGGAGGCGCTAACCCACGCCAGCCTTCCCCCATCCCCAGTGCACCGCCCTGGGCCAGGGCCTTCAGATGACTCAGGGGCCTTCTGCCTGATCTTCCTGCATTCTCAACAGAAGACTTCCCCCCATACACTCACGACACACAGAGGGCATCACGAGAGGGAGGAAAGTGGATCAGGAGCTGCCTGTGAACCATAAACAGACCGTTTTCTAGACAGGAGAGTGGGGAGTTCCAGCAGAGCAAAGGGACTGGGGACTCTGGGTTCCTTCTCTCCTTGTGTGGAGCGCTGCTCCACGGCGAGCACTCGGTCACCCAGGGCCACACAGCGGGTGAGATGCAGCCGGTCCTCCAGGGACGCTCGCCTGGGAGCATGAGCAGAACGCATGGTGATGGGGCCCCAATGAGGCAAAGCGGGAGCCGGAGTAAGCAGAAGGCAGCTCTCCCTGGGCAGATGAGGGAGACCACCCTGTGGGGTGACACCCAGGTGAGGAAGGGAAAAGGAGAAGGGAAGGAGAGCACCATGCTCGGAGGGACTGGCCGGTGCACGCTCGGCCGGCCTGTGGGCCTGCACCATGGGATGGCCTTGCTGGGCTTCAGAACCAAGGGCCTTGGATGAGGGCACAAGACTGGCCATCCATCCCCTGCAGATTCCCTGCCGTCGGGGAAGTTCGCACTGTGTGTGTGTGTGTGTGTGTGCGCAGAGGGGAGATAGGCCATGCTGCAGACTCTGTCACGGAGTCCCGCTGGGCAGGGCTGCCCAGTCAGGGCACAGCGGGAGTGGAAGCGAAGCGTGGCAGGGCTGGAGACAGCACCGGGATGCCCCATGACAGGGCCAACTCGGGCCCTGGCTCCCGGCCCCTCCATGGGCACCACATGGTCTGCTCAGCAGGCCCTCGTGAGGTTCAGAGTTCTTCCAGTCCAAGAGCAAAGCCCCTCTGCCCAAGAGTCCCTGGGGGGGGCAGGGGCAGGGGAGGGGGAGGTGAGCAGGGGGGAGTGGGGGGAGTGGGGGGAGCAGGCAGCACAGTGCAGCCAGGAGGAAACTGCCCCGGAGCTCAGGGCTGGGTACAGTTTACTGTCCTCACTGGGCTCCCGTCCTTCGGGGTTTAAGAGGGAGGTCTCAGAGTACCATCTGGCCCTGACGCCCACCCACTCATGAGGTCCCCAAGGGACTGCCATCTCTGGGTCACTGAAGGGTCCCTAAGGGTTCTCCAAGGGCCCAGGTCTGTGAGTGGGGAGGAGGATGGAGGTGTCTGTGGGGAAGGGGCACGGCCTCCTTCACTCCCTGCCACCCTGGCCTCAGCCTCCTGTCTCTGCCCTCCCCCCGGGACACCTCTGTAGCCATGGTTGTTGTCCTGCTAGGACCCCACAGCGGCCACCATGGAGTCCTCCACACCAGGAGGCTGAGGGAGGGGATGCGGGCTGCAGAGGGGACACACCACCCACACAGCTTCCTACCAAGGCGAGGGCGCCATTCACCTGCACCCCACACCTGGCATGCAGCAGGAGGTGCTCGTTAAAAAGACTGTCATTGAGGCACTGGCCAGGTGGCTCAGGTGGTTGGAGTGTCATCCTGTGCACCAAAGGGTTGCGGGTGTGATGCCAGGTCAGAGCAGGGCACGATCCCTAGGTGGGGCCTGTGTGGGGGCAGCCGATCAATGTTTCTCTCTCACGTCCACGTTTCTCTCTCCCTCCGCCCATTCCTCTCTCTCTAAAATCAATAAATACTCATCTCTCCTCAGGTGAGAGTTTAAGAAAATAAAAGACCACCACTGAAACCTCTGAAGGTCTGCATCTCTCCCTCTCTGCCTGGGTTGGCTGTCCCCACCTGTCCTGCCCAGAGACACGGACCAACAGACCCTGAGTGGAGGGTCTCGGGGGCCAGGCCTTGGGGCGCCCCTGCAGGAAGCCTCCCCGGCCCAGCTCCTGGGACTCATGACACCAACCATCATGTTCCTCAGCCTACCAGGCACGTCACGTCCATGACCACATGTACGGACCGGGCATGACCTCCACTGGGACCCCCAGAAGCGGGGGCTGCAGATAATCAGGCCGAGGTGAACAGGAACCAGGAAACAACTCAGCAGACTTCTAACGTAAAATGGGGCAAAAGGAGTCAGAGTCCTCAGACACTAAAGGGGCTGCAGAGGGCAGGAGGCCATGGCTTTGACCTTTGTACACCCTCAGTGGGTCACAGCGAGAGCCGCCTGCTGAGTCAGCATTTCCTGGAGTGAGCCCACCTCGACAGGGTGGGGGAGGGAGGGCGACACTGGGAGGCTGATGGGGTTGGAGGGACATGTGGGCCACGCCAGAGCACGGCCTCCCGACAGGTGGCACAGCCCTGACCGGCCAAGCTGCCTGCCCAAGCTGCCCGCCGCTCTAGCATGAAATTGAGCTGGTGGCTGTCTGTGCGGCAGGCCTCCGGGCCCCCGCTGGCCACCGCTCAAGCATGCTCGGTGTAATTAGGACCTACCCAAGGGTGGCATAGCCACCTCAGCCCAAATCAGGAGGGGAGACCTGACGGGGGCGGGGGACAGGGGAGAGCACCTGCTGAGTCTGACGTGAGCCCACATGGAGGCCAGGAGGCGGGAAGGGGTGGGCTTCGCCATCAGCACGGCACCAGTCCCCGGCCCCGTGGTGCAGCGGGTGCCCGGGGACCTGAACGCCTCTGCCACGCCCGGCCCTGCCCACCCTGACACGGGTTTCTCTTCCCAACTTGACTGAGATTATAATGGATCATCAGAAGTTGCATATAGGGTGGGGCAAAGATAGGTTTACAGGTGTTTGTTTGGAAAACATTATAATTAATAAATGACTCAAGAATAAACTGTTTCACACGCTCACAGCGGCAAACCTGCTTTCGCCCACCCCTGTGTATTTCAGCCATACATCCTGACAACCGGATACATGTGTTCGCTGCGAAATACTCAGCACAAGCGATATCCCTGAACTTTACTGCTCTCCGTGTGTGTGTGTGTGTGTGTGCGCGCGCGCGCACGCGAGAGAGAGAGAAAGAGAGAGAGAGAGAGACAGGTGGAACAGCGAGGGTCCCATGCTTGCTCCCTCAGCGAACGTCCAGCACAGAATGGAACACCGTCAGCTAGCCTCACACTGCACCAGTCCTCCGGAACCCACTCCTCCAGCACGACTGAACCTATACATCGAGTGTGCACCCATGGTGGGTCCTACAGGCCCACGTACCATTCAGATGGGTGTCTTCACTGCCTGACACACTTTCAGGCCTTGTGCCCCTTGTGTCACACACCTACGCTCAGGCTGTGCTCCCAACCCCGCACCTGCCACCACCTTCTGGGACAGTCCCGTCCTGCCTCCTGCCTGGAGCCTCCCCTGCACCACACCACCCACCACCGCCCTGTCCCTCCCTCCGCTGTGCCCCTGAAAGTCTGCATTCAGCCCCATTTCAAACTCTTCGTTCCAGGTGTGGGTGTGAGAGTGGGTGTGCGTGTATGTGAGTGTGTGTCACTGAGTGTGCAAGTGTGTTTCGACTAGAACCAGCCTCCTAAGCCAAGAATGCACTGTAGCTCCTGCGGGAGGCCGGAGGGCGGGTCGGCAGAGGGAAAGCCTGAGTGGGAAGCCCTGTGACCTGCCCCCACGGTGCCGCTGCGTCCCGTCGTGGCACTGGCCACAGTCCACGCCTCTTGCTCGTGCAACAGCCCGACCTCGGACGACACCACAAGGACCACAGAACCCAGGCTGTGGCACACTCTTTCACCAACACCTCCCTAGCATCCCACACCGAGTGCATAACACACGTCGGGTGGAGGAACACAGGAACGGTCACCGTGGGCTCAGAGTCAGAGGCAGGTGGGATCTGCTGCCGCCTCTAGCTAGCTGGGACACCTGGGGCAGGCTGCCTGGGCCTTCTGGGTCAGGTCCCGTGTGTAAAATAGGGACGCCGGCACCTCACTGTGAGAGAATCGAATGAAGTAGGTAGAGTCCACTGGCACACACCTGGGAAGCAGCAGGTGGCTAATGCACGGCGACCATTCCATTCCTCCTGTACCCCATGCTACCTAGCACAAGCCCATCACAGAGCAGGAGCTGGACACTCACAAGGCGAATGCCTCAGAATGAACACGTGGGAAACTAGCCCCCACCGGCTCCTCCCAGCCTCTTGGGCCCCTGACCAAAGGGAGGATCCTGCACAGCCCCGCTTGCTAACTTCCCACACCCACCTCTGACATCATGTGCTTCTCTGGGCCCTCGGCCTGCCCTGGCTCATTTCCCAGCTGCGAAGCTGCGCCCCCTCACCTGGACCGACGTGCAGGTGGTGATGATGCTGGTCCCCAGGCCGGTGCTGTCGCTGAGATCGTCAGGCAAAGAAGGCGTTTTCTCCACCCTCGGGGCCTGCGTGGCTGGGAACGAGGGGTTTTTAGGAGACAGGTTCACATCTGTGCCGTTGCCGAAGGCCTGGATGGCGTTCCCTGCGGGGGGCGAGACAGGCTGATACAGAGGAATCAGGGGCCACCCCCGCCACTTCTGCCCTCCCCACCTCAGCCCTGGGCGCCCTGCCCGTACAGAGTGCAGCTGTCCAGACTGAAGTGTGCTGAGGCTCTCCTTCAGATACAGGGCCTCACGTGCACAGGAGGGAGCGGCAAGAGAGCGGTTGAAAAAGACAAGAGACGCGAACAGAAGGAAATGTAGGTGATAAGGAGAGGAGGGTGCTGGGAGTGTGGGAAGCCTGGTAAGAAGGACGGACCACGCCCAGGGCAGCCAGCACCCCCTGCTCAGTGGCGTCGAGGGCTGCAGACCACACGCGCTTCAGAAGCCCCCCACCCTCAGTCCCCGGGCACAGGTTCTCCTGGCTCCTTCGCCACTCAGCTGCCTCTGGGTCCCCGCCGCTGGCACCCACAGACCCCAGACGCAGCCCTCCTCCCTGTGGCCTCCATGGCTCCCAGCCCGTTAGTGGCACCAACTCACTGAGGACTACATCAATGGAGCCTCCTGGACAAAACTCAGTCCCCAAGATGTGGCTGTATAACCAAATGCCTGAGGAAATTACCGCCTCCACGTCCTCAAACTCATCACGTCTCCACCTGAGCAGGCACCACTCCATCCCTTTCGACACCATCTTCCCTGGGTTTCCAGCCATGAAGGTTTCCTCTCCCTGCCCAGGTGCCCCAGTGCACCTCCCTAGCACCCACCTGCCATCATTCCAGCCCACCTCCTGAAGACCTCTCCCCTCCAGCTCTCCCCTCCACCTCCCTCACACTGCTCGGGTTCACAGCAGGACGTCCTCTCCCAGGACGGCCACTACTCCCCTGAGTGCGCCCTCTGTGTGTCACCGGCCAGAACCATACCCCACCCCACCCCTCCACACTAGGCCAGACAGTGAGCCATCAGAAATGCAGATCTGCACCCAGCACCCAGTGCTGACCCCCACAGTGGCCCACACCACCACCCTGACACGTGCAGGGACCACCGGACCCCCTTCAGGGGGAGGACACTCCTCCCATCCAGACAACTGCCGGTGCCCCTGTGCTCTGTAGCAGGGCTCAGCGGCCTGCAGTTCTCGCAGCTCACTCTGCCCTCCTGCCTCTCCAGCTGACGGATGCCTTCCCCCCTCAACGGGTCAGCCTCTGAGAAGCCTGCAGGGGCTGCCTGCTGCAGCTGAGCTGGGCATCCCGCCCTGGCCCCTGCGATGGCCCTTACCCCGCAGGTTCACCCCAGACTGGGACCACCAGGGCCTGGGTCGGGCTGCAAGCTGTACAAGACAGGCACGGTGACTTGTGTCTCTGAATGCCCGGTGCCCTGCAGCAAAGAGCACGGACCGGCGGACAGAGGGAAGAACAGAGGGAGGGAAGAGGGTATGCACAGCAAAGGGGCCCGTCTGAAGAGGTGGAGGCAGACGGAGCCCACAGCTCACCCTGCTCTCTACCCTTTGGATTAGGAGTTTGGTGACTTGGAAAAAAAGTCACTGATTCTGGTGGGGCCCTTAAACATGATCCTTAAAAGGAGAAGTGACAGACAGCGAGATCCTTACCACAGGGCTGTCCCCAAAGGAGCCAGTCTGCAGCTGTCCGAGTAACAGACCAGAAACCTTCAACCTTGACTTGACACAGGCGTGAGGCCTCCCATGGAAAACAGGCTGGCCCACTGATAGCTCTGGTGTGACTCTCCAGGAGCTGGAACCGAGGTCTCCACAGGCCACACCCAGCTCCTGGCGGTCCCAGGAGAAGAAGGACCAGCTCCGGCCACCTCCAGGGAGCCTCTGAGAAAGGGGGGCTGGGAGGGGCTCCTGGGGTGCAGTAGCACTGCGGTACTTACGAAGGCAGGTGTTCTCGGTGAAGTCCCTGAGGAACTTCTCACACTCCTCCTCCATGTTCCCGCTCCCACGACAGCTGCACCAGGGGGACACCACGATGCCTGTGGGGCTGGAGTCCACATAGTTCGGCATCATGTCAAACCCTGAACCGGGGGAAGAGGGGCAAAGAAGAGGGGAGCAGTGAGACCTTCTCTTTGGGCCCCCAGACCCCAGGCACCACAGACTTGGGGTGCCTCCCTCCCTCCCTCCCTCTCCCCCCCACCCCCAAACACCCAGATGTCCCAACTCACAACCCAAGCTCTGAGTGTGACTGTCCCAGGGAACCAAGGGGTCAGCAGGGGCAGAAAGACTGAGGTGGCCGACAAGACCCCCCAGCCAGCCTCCCAGAGCACAGCCCTTGCTTCCCCCCGGGCCACCCAGCAGAGAGTGTTCTGCAGTGAGTGCAACGAGGCTCGATCCTGGACTTGGACCCCAGTGCCGATATTCACGAGCTGGGCCAGCCTGGGCCAGTCACTCTGCTTCTCTAAACCTCAGTTTCCCTGTCTGTGGAATGGACGCCCCAAAACCTCCCTAGCAACTGCTATCATGTGAACTGCTTAGTGCAGCTCCTGGAGGGCCCAACTTGCAGTCAGTGCTACTCGTTTTTCTTTTTTCAAAAGCTTTGTAAGGTCCCTGCCCCCTGCCCTCCATGATGAAGAGCCACCCTCTCCTCCAGTTTCCCACAGCAGCTCTATCTGAACCTGCCACAGAGAAAGGCAAGCTCACGCTGTCTGCCCCCTGGCCCACCACTAGGCCTTGGCCCCTGCTCGCTGAGACGGGGACAGGCGGCAGCCACTGTGAGCCTGGGCACGCAGGGTGGCTTACCGATCATGCCAGTATAGGCACCTAGGCACGCCTGGTAATTGTCGGCTGGGCAGCTGGTGAGCGTCTGGTAGGAAGCACGACAGTTGGTGTGGAAGTCCGCCAGCCGGGACCTGGTGTTGAGAAAAGACCCGTGGAGAGGACAGATTAGTGTGGCCGCCTTCCCACGTCCTCTGCGGTAGAGGAATCCTCCCCCAGCTTCCTGGGGTGGAGGAAGCGAGGGAGAAGGGAGAGGAGAAGCACCGAGCTGTGGGGGCTCAGGCTGGGCGCTCCTAGGGGACAGGACTCCTGGGCATGGGCTGCGGTCCAAGCACAGTCTACACTGGGTGGGTCACTCAGCCAGAGGGACAGAGCACGCAGGGCCTAGGCAGGAAAGCCGGGCACCGCTTTCAGCTTGGCCGCACTCCTGGTGACCTGCCCGAATCCTTCCACACACCACTCTACCCACCTGCAGAAGGGGCACGTGAACCCTGTCCTCGTGCACCTGAGGTCCACAGAGCCTGCCCCAGGTGGTACGAGTGCCCTACAGTGAGACACCCTGAGGGCATCCCCAGCCTATCTCTCCCTCACCGAACCAGAGCAAAGCGCCCCCTACCCCAAACCACCAGCTTCCAGATCCCACCAAGCAGAATCAGCCTCTTCTTCTCCTGGCACTGTAACTGGCCACCACCCATCCCTCTGTTGGCACTGGTGACACGGTCTCATAACTGCATGCACACAGCCACCTTTTATCACTGAATCCTCACAAAAACCCTGTGCGGCCCGGCAAGCCACTGTTATGAATGTCTCTGTTACAGAGGAGGAAGCTGAGCCTCCAAGAAGCTCAGTAACGCACCCCAGGTCCCCAGGTGCGGCACAGCGGAGGCAGGACGGCGTCCCAGGCCTCCGGCACCAAGCAGACGCCCCTACAGGCAGGTCCCACCGCTCCTATGCCAAAGCCCTCCAGGTCTTCTGGAGCCCGCATCCTGCCTCGCTGCAAACATACTGTGTCTCTCCCAGGACAGTAAACGGGACCTGTGGTTACCTCCCCCGCCGCCCTGCCCATAAATGCGGAAAAGCAGCTTTTCCAACCAGGCCTCCAGCCCTGATATAGTAAGACTTCCTCTGGAGTAGGGGGACCAGCGTCTGTCGGTCCCACTCTGCAGCCCCAAGAATGAGGCCAGGTGCTGGGGGTGGGGAGGGGACGGCCTCGGCCATAGCCTGGGCCTTTGGAGACCCGGGGGGTAGGGGGGGGGATGGAGACGTCGACAGGCTCAGGGGATCTGGAGGCAAACACAGTCTCTAAGCACCTGTTGTGGGTTGAATTGTGTCACCCCCAAAAAAGACATGCTATTGTCCTATCCCCGGTGCCAGTGACTAGACCCTCCTTGGAAATAAGTTATTCGCAGGTGTGACCAAGGTGTGGCAGGAGTAACAGCGGAGCAGGGCGGGCTCAGTGTAGCAACTGGTGTGCTTGTAAGAAGAGGCGCAGAGACACGGGTCACAGCATGTGGAGACAGAGGCCACGGTTGCAGGGATGTACCCACAGCTCAGCAACACCAAGGGCTGCCGAGACCCCAAAAGTGGAGAGAAAGGCATGGGACAGATGCTCCTGAGGACACCCAATGCCAGACCTCCGGGCTCTGGGGCTGGGAGGACACACACCTCTGCTTCAGGGCTCCCAGTTTGTGGCACTCGGCTGCTGCAGCCACAGGAAACTCTCACAGCACCCTCAGAGGCCACACTGTTGGAGTTGGCCAAACATCTCCCTCCAGAAGGAGGGAGGGGGGTCAGGCCCCAGCACTGAGGGGGACCACAGGTGGGCAGCCTGGAGCCATAGCTGAGCTCCTGCAAGGTGTGAGAGCTGCAGGACAGCGGAGCCTCAAGTTCCCATCTCCTGCTGCGGAGGAGGCTCTGAACACCACCTCTTAGCCAAGACACAGGCGCCATTCCGATGCCATTTGACCACGCACAGGGCCCGCTTACCCCTGCTGCCTCCACAGGCCTGCCTGCCGTCCTGCCCTGAGATGACCTCCCCACAGACCACCACCTCATGGATTTCCCCACCTCCGTATGCCCACTACAGACGGTGCCCGCACCAGGCAACCCCACACTTCACTGCACGGACACTTAACTGCTGGGTCTCACCAATGTTCCCCGGGGCGGGCTCTGCTGACCTCTGCATTGAAGCCCCTCGGGTCTGGACCAGGCGGTAGGTCCCTTCCTCCGGACTGTACTAAGCCCTGCCTCGAGACTGAGAGGCTGAGGATGGGAATGGCATGTGGGTCACTGCGGTGCCAGGAAGGAATCCCAGCTAATAGGGACAGGGCAGAATGCAGAGAGCCACCAGGCCACGGTCCTGCAGGAGCGCACTGTCCACCCAGCACACCACCAGCGGGTGTGCAAGCCTCCAGACGGCCCCACTCCCGCCTGGCACACCAACCTCACGTCCCTTCTGCAAAGTCAGTGCTCTAGTCCCTGCCCCTGGGAACCCTGGGGTCCTGCCTGGCTGCACCACCCACGAGGCCTCTCAAAATGTCACCAGGCCCCCAGGCTGAAGGAGCAAAAGAATGAATGAGGAGGCCACAACAGACCACAAAGAGGGACAGTGCCTTGGTCAGAGAAGAGGGGGTCGTCAAGGAAGCAAGCCAGGGAGCAGAGGCAGAGGACACCCCACGCAGGCGGGGCCCTCAGTGAGGAGGGAGGGGCAACCCCATTGCTGCCAGAGAGGGGGCTGTCACGAAGCCATGCTCTGTCCAGCCCTTGCCTGTGATGTGACCTGTCCTCCATGTCCCCAGTTACTGACTGGGGCGAGCCTGCCTGCCTGCCTCCCTTACAGGGGACACGAGAAGGGTGGGCACAGAGAAGCAGCATCCGTCCTCCCTATCTTCCCTCTCTACCAACACGTCCCGTCCCCAGCACTGTGCCTGCCACTGGCAAGCACAAACGGGACAGCTGTCCCTGTGTCTGAAAGAAGGAAAAAACATCTGCTCGCCCCACCAAGGCAAACCTGGGTCCCAGGCAGGCAACATGAACACACCAGGGAGAGCGCTCCCTCCCCCCTCCCTCACCACCAGGCTCCAGAGTCACCCCGCTGGACCCCAGGGGGACGATGCCCTTCCTACCCCAGGATCACTTTCCATGCCACGCTGAGGACAGAGGAGGTGGGGCACGGGCCCCCTTTGCCAGACCCCAGGGCAACTAGCAGGGCAGAGCCAGCTTGCTCCCCCCAAGTCTGTGGCCTCCTTCCTCAAGAGCAGGCCCGCGCTCTATCCAGAGTGCCAGCCAGGGAGGAAGAAGGCCCGAGGCCGGCAGATGGCTGGAGGGGAAGGCGGAAGGGAGGGGAAGCCACTCAGCCTTCTGTTCCTCCATTCTCAGTGTCACGGCAGCCTTGGCAGGCGAGAGGGACAAACGGAGCCGTTTATGAGGCTGTCCCATCCAAGTCTCCAAGAGGCCTCTGGTGGCGCAGGTCCTCTCCGCTCCTCGAGGCACACTGCGGTTCACGGTGGCCGGAGCCTTCTGTCTGCACCAAGCCCATGACACACCCGACTCCAGCCACGACACATACCAGCCATGGGACCACTCCCACAGCAGCCCTGGCAGGTGCAGTCTCCAAGGCCAATGTTATCCTTTACACAGTGTGCGGCGAACCAGCTGGGGATCTCGTGCCACCTCTGGGCCAGATGCTGCTCTTCCCTGCAGGTGCCCCCAGGCCACCTGTCTCTTTGATTCTGTTCTCACTGCCAGGACAGACTTTTCTGGATCAGGCCCATCACACTGGAAATTTCTTCCTTTAATAGCCCCCATAAGAGAGATGGCATAGAGGAGAGCATGGGAGGGTGGGGGCGGGGGTGGGGGGAAGAGCGAGAGAGAGAAGCAAAAAGAAGAGAAAAACAGTGGTCCAGCAAGAGAACCAACGTGAACACAAGCCAAGCCCATCCTGCTGAGATCAACTGAAAATGACCAGATGAGCTCGGGGCAGTGGGCAGACCCGTCCAAAACCCGAAACCATCATTGGGCTCATTTCACCAGCAGCTGCAGCCTCCCCAGTCACAGGGAAGCAGCGGGAGGGGAGGACACAGACACTCGACCCCGTCTGATTAAACAGTGGCCAGATTAAATACAGGACATCCATTTAATTTGAATTTCAGATAAGCACTAATACACTGTTTTAGTATAAGCGCGTCCTGTGCCATACTTGAAACACACTTCTATTAACCACATTGAACTGGGTCTCCTGGATTCTTACTTGTGAGACCCAGCAACTCAGTGGGAAGGGCAGACAGGCTCCTGCAAAGGTGAGTGCCCGTGTGAAGACCGGCCCTCCCAAGCAGAGGTCATCCAGGCCAGGTGGGGGCATGTGGGCTTCCTCCAGGTCAGTAGTTCTCAAAGTTCGGTCCGAAGACCAAAGCATCAGCTTCAGCTGGGGCCTTGGCAGGAACGCCAGTTCCCAGGCCCCAGCCCAGACCCGGCAGATCTGACACCTTGGGGTGGGGCCCAGCAATCCTCACTTTCACCAGCCCTCCGGGCAACGAGGAGGCAATGCCTCAGGCCACAGCTCCTGGTCTAGTGGCAAAGAGCACACACGTTTACACGCACACCCCCCACCCCCACAGACACAGCCACACTCGGACACGTGCCTCTCGGTTCCGCATTTCGGCTGCAGTCAAGGGAAAGTATAGGCACCACCTGTCAAGGAGACACTGCCTGATCCGGGGTGTAAACACCTTCCCAAACACATACACTCTCTCAAACCTGTCTGGCCCCATATAAAATTGGGGTGAATTGCTCCCACAAAACCCCCAAACATTCCAGTGCTGGCCAGGATGCAGCTTTTTGGTCTGAAATTATTATCAACTTCCCAAAGTTCCCATTTTTTAGGAAACCAATAGGTTTCTACTGGTTGGAGAAGTGGAGAAAGAGGAAAGGAAGCTCGTGCTTTCTGAGTACCTACTATGTGCCAAACACTGTTCTCTGATTTAAGTTTCTGAGCAACCCCATAAAGCAGACAGACTTCACAGTTCGGACAGGGTGGCTCCAGAGGCAGGACACACGTGTACGCACCTGCGGGCAGCACACCGTGGACAGGCCCCCACCAGTGAGGACAGGGTCTCTTCTCCGGCTCTGCAGCCAT